ACATGGATGCCTACGTGAGCGACTGCTATGACAGCATCGCCGTCTTCCTCTGCATCCACATCGTCCTTCGGTTCAAGGCCCTGGTGGCCAAGCGCAACGTCCCGGCTATTGACAAGTAAGCCCCCTTTGCCCCCCCAACACTCTCTCCCTTGGCCAGTGGGGGCTGATGGGGTCAGGCAGGGTGTCTTCTGGGTTGTTGGTTTGAGCTCCGAGCTTGGCAATTTGATTGCCGACGTTTCGTCACCCTTCGGGGAGACGACGTCAGTATGCTTTGAATGGTGCTCGTCTGTCGGAGCGCTGGCCTTTAAATACCTTTTTATGGGGTGCAAATTGGCATGAATGTTACTTGTTCGTCGCGTACATTTGCATCACGTAAAAAGGTATTTAAAGGTCAGCGCTCTGACAGACGAGCACAGTTCAAAGTGCATTGACGGTATCTCCTCGAAGGGTGATGAAACGTTGGCGTCAAGCTCTGAGCTCAAACCAACAGCCCAACTACCAACCTGAGCTACTAATATTCAAACGCATTTTGAGGTGTCTTCTGTCTGGTTGATGCTCCCCCCTCCCTCCCCTCCCCAGGTACTGGGACACATTACTGGAACTGCTCTGGCCGCGATTTCAGTACATTCTGGAGCTGAACATTCACAGCATCCAGAGCACGGACCCCCAGAAGCTGGGCTTCCTTGACACGCGTCCCCACTACGTACGTATGCACGGGAACGGCCCTGTCCTCGGGAAGGGAGGGGTGAACACCCCTCTCTGCTTAGTGGGGAGGGGGCTGAGTTTCTCTCCTGCAGGGCAGAATGCGAGGACTGAAAAAGGGGGTGGGCTTATGGCCAAACAGCTCCCCAGTTGCCGGAGATGGGCAGGGGGACCCTGGCGCTGGATTGGAGCAGAGCTGGGGAAGGGTCTGGCAGGGATGCTTGGATGCCCATCTGCCCGTGGTCCAGCCAAGAAGGAGGGGGCTACTGTAGCCAAGTCTAGAGAGCCCAGAAGTCCCTCACCCCGCTTCTCTGCTCTCTCCCCATCCGCAGATCACCCGGCGGTACGCAGAGTTCTCCTCGGCCATCGTCAGCATCAACCAGACCTTCCCCCACGAACGGACTTTGGCCCTGCTGGGGCAGCTCCAGGTGAGCCCTTCTGCGGGACGGGAGAGACCTTCCTTGCAGGGAGAGCAGCTTGACCCAGAGATGGGGGGGCTGCCCCTCCCCAGATGGGTTGAGAAAGGGGACCTTTCCACCCTCTGGTTGTTTGCGTGGGGCACCATCCATGGTGTAACAAACATTTCTGAACTGTCCGGTTTCCTGGTTCTCTGCATGCTGGATCCGGCCAGGGGCTGAAATGTAGGGGTCTCCTGGGAGGGGGGCAAATGCAGCCTCTGACCCTCCCCTGTATCCTGCTTCTCCTTGGGTTGTCTTATTAACTGGCTCCAGTCTGGCTGTTGGGCATAGGGTGGTGTCTTGCACCTCCTAGTATCGGGGAGACTTGCACCTCCTAGTATTGGGGGAGCTGGTCTGGAGAGGGGGATGAGCCTTTCTCTGATGCTGCCTGCTTCCCTCCCTCCCCCCCCAGACCGAAGTGGAGAACTTTGTCCTGCGTGTGGCAGCTGAATTCTCCTCCCGCACCGAGCAACTCATCTTCCTCATTAACAACTACGACATGATGCTGGGTGTCCTGATGGTACGCAGGCGACTGAGGGGGAGTGTCCAGCAAGAGGAGGGAGGGGTAGAAGGACGAAGCCTCACCCCCCCCACACACACGCTATCCCTCCTCCTCTGTCCTCCCCAGGAGCGAGCGGTGGAGGAGAGCAAGGAGGTGGACGGGTTCCAGCAGCTGCTGAACGCCCGCACTCAGGTGGGCCGGGATGGGTGGGTGGTTCCCCGTCTTCAAGAAGCCCAAGGGGTCTCCAACTGGGCCTCTGGGGGGAGGGTCCTGCCTTTCCCTCTCCTGGGGCAATGGGGGAGGCATGTGGGGTACACACCAGGCATGACACAGCGCTGGCTCAGTTGCAGGACTGACGTGTTCTCGTTGTGTAGAGTCGTGCTGGGCAATGCTTGAATCGATGCACTCGGTAGAATGGGGGGCACCCCATGCCCTCAGAGGGGCTTTGTGGGGAAGGGGTCCCTCTGTCTCAGCTGAGCCCTCCTTCCCTGGCAGGAGTTCATCGAGGAGCTCCTGGCCCCGGGGTTCGGGGGCATGATAGCCTTCGTGAAGGAGGTGGAGGGGCTGTCCGAGCGGGGACAGCTGGAGCGCCTGCGAGGGGAGGAAGGTGAGTGGGGCATGGACGTGGGGGGGAGGAGGAGGAGGAGGGGGTCCTTGCGACACTCACTCCACCTTCCTCGCCCCGCAGCCCGGGTGACGCAACTGGTGCGGGGCTTTGCCACCACCTGGAAGGCCTCGGTGGAGACCCTTAGCCAGGACGTGATGCGCTCCTTCACCAACTTCAAGAACGGGACCACCATCATCCAGGTTGGGGGCAGGGCACCCGGTGGGAGGGAGGCGGGGGCCCAGAAGTGGCGGGGCCGAGCTCTTCCTCACTGCCCACTGTCGTCCGCAGGGGGCGCTGACGCAGCTGATCCAGTACTACCACCGCTTCCACAAGGTCCTGGCACTGCCCCCGCTGAAGGCCCTCTCCGTCCGCTCGGAGCTCATCAACATCCACCACCTGATGGTCGAGGTGAAGAAGCACCGGCCCAACTTCTGAGGGCAGAAGCCCCCCACCCCCTTGTACAGTCCTATTAATAAACTCTCTTGTGACCCAGAAGGCCTCCTTGGGACCGAGGGGGAAGGGGGGGAGGCTGGAATTGGGGACCAGGCTCACCCACACTTCTCCCCGTTCCCGTGCCATCACCACGATTACAGCTTGCTGGTGAGTGTGCCTCACACAAACTGGAGTCGTTCGCTAAAGAAGGAAGGAGGTGTCTGTTTGTGTGTGAACGCGGTGACAACACTGACCCAGCTTAGCATTTGTGACATTTTGGATGCCAGATAACAGGCAGTCCTCGATGTACGATCGGAATCGGGGATTGGAAAATTGATTGCCGAGCAACGTGGTCATTAAATGAGGCATCACCTCACCCAGTTCTACCATCTTTTCTGCCGCGATTTAAACCAGACGTCAGGGACTGCCCTTTGCCCGTCTTTCCCGCAGGCTTCCCCAATGACTTTGTGGGAAGCCGTCTGAGAAGGTCGCAAATGGCGATCACGAGAGAGAATTGTCATCAACGCAAGCCAAGCGCCTGAACGGCGATCGCACGACTGCGACAAGGATGCTGCAGCGGCCCTAAGTATGAGGGTGGATTGTTAAGTTGCTACTGTCAGACGGCCGCTAAGCAAGTGGACATAAGTTGGGGACCCCCCTCTATTCCATTCCTGTCTAGAGGTCACGAGAGGACCCTCAATGCAACATGTGGTCAACTTATGGAACTCCCTACCACAAGATGTGATAGTGGCCCCCTTTGGCTGACCTTGGCCCCTCCTCCCCCTCTCCCACATCAGCTGTGGTTCAACAGTCACACAATACACAAACAAAAAACAGCTTCTAAAACTCTAGGGATGCAGCCCCTGTGCTACAAAGGACCCACAGGCAGGGAGGAAGACTCCATATTGGCTCAGGAAAGTAGTTTGCACACTCACAAATGTTTGTGGTGCGTTCCAAACCAGGGGTGTCCAACCACAAACACAGGATATGCTTCCCTGGCTTGGAACGTACCACAAACGTAGGTTGTGCTGGGAGTTATGGACTTCAACTCCCAGCACACCCTACGTTTGTGGTACGTTCCAAGCCAGGGAAGAACATCCTGTGTCTGCGATATGTTCCAAGCCAGGGGTATCCAACTGTGGCCACTTTTAAGGCTTGTGGACTTCAACTCCCAGCACACCCTAGGTTTGTGGTACGTTCCAAGCCAGGGAAGCACATCCTGTGTTTGTGGTACGTTCCAAGCCAAGGGTGTCCAACTGTGGCCACTTTACTTGTGGACTTCAACTCCCAGCACACCCTACATTTGTAGTACGTTCCAAGGCAGGGGAAAACATCCTGTGTGGTACGTTCCAAACCAGGGGTGTCCAACCGTGGCCACTTTAAGGCTTGTGGTCTGGCTGGGGAATTCTGGGAGTTGAAGTCCACAAGTCTTAAAGTGGTCACGGTTGGACACCCCTGATGATGGAAAGCATGAGCCAGTCTGTAGGAAAAATTCAATATATTTCTTAAATTTCCCGTAGCCCAGAAGTGAGATCTCAAACTCACATTCCCCGTACACACACGCAAACATACACACACACCATTTTCAAGATTACAAATTTGCAGCAGGGAAAAAAAGTGTTCTTTTTAATATTGATTCCATTAAATAATATAATTAATTTATTTCTTTTCTTTTTTTTATAAAAACAAAATAAAATATATACGGTTTCCTCTTTCTTCTTTGGACTTCTTTTTTTTTTTAACTTTTCTTTCATACCCAGGACTTTTGCGCGGGATAAAGGAAGGGGGGGGTTGGGTGGACGGGGGGAGAGGAAGAAGAGAAAAATGGGGGGAGGGGGCGACTTCGGACCCCATTTTTTCAAGCCTCCCACTGACTTCAAGGAGGGGGAGAGGTAAGGGTACAAGTTGCCATCAATAGGGCTAAAGTGGGCGGGGCTAAGCAGGGCTTTAGTGGGAGGGGCATTCAATGATGGCCCGGGTCTCTGCTGTTTGTGAGGGGGGGTCTCTATCAGGAAGCAATGAAGCAGGAAGGGGGTCCATCTGAGGAGGGGGGGTCAGAGCCCCGAGGGGGATTCAGCAGGGGGAGGAGGCACAGAGAGAATTTGGGAGGGAGAAAACTTCCATGGGGGGAGGGTCTCTCTGCACCCCTTCAATAGAGGGATCTTCTTCCAGTTGCTGGACCCCCCTCACACACACACACCCCACCATGGTCTCCACTGTTTGCTGGGCACCAGGAAGCTGGGCCCCCTCCTTCTTCTCCTCGGACGAGGCCGGCCGGCTGTGCTGGGGGGGCTCCCCTCTAGCCCAGAAAGCAGGCGGCCCCCACCTCAAAACCAAAGCCCTGCCCGGGCTCCCCAAAGTCTGTCAGGTGCACGTCCAGCAAGGGCAGGTGCTCCACCTGGGGGGTGTTGACCTCCAGGACCGTCTTGCTGGACGCTTTCCGTGCCTGGGGAGGGGGGGTGAAGAAGAGAAGGGTCACCACAGGGGTGAGGGTCACTGCCCCTCCCCCGAAGAGAAGCTGAGAGTCCATCTTTCAGTTAGGAAGTTGGGAACGGGGGACATCGGGACCCCCATTTTGGGGGAATCTGCTTTGTCCTGCGTCCGTTCTCCCACCCGCCCACCTGCCCCCACCCGTGCCAGGGTGGGCCCTTGAACACCCCCCCATGGGAGGGAAGCAACACTGGCAGCCGGTCGTGGGAGAAATAATCTGAGAGCCCCCCCCCGAATCCATCAAGGTGGAGGACACAAGGTGCCAGGCCTGCCTTTCGTCCTGCCCTCTCTGAGTACGGATCCCGTCCCCCCCCCAGGTTCTTCCCCTCCCGGGCGCTCACCGCACAGCCGTCCACCAGCGCCTTGACGTAGGGGCTGTTGTCATAGCTCAACTCGTCCTCGTTGGCCCCTCGGAAGCGCAGCGCCCGCTGGTAGCCCCCCAAGGCGGGGGACTCCGGGCTGTGCCAGGCAGCCGAGTGCCGGCAGTGGTACGTGAAGTTCTGGCGGGCGGAGATGCTCAGCAGACGGAGGAAGGAGAGCTGCACCACGCCCAGCGGCTGGCCAGCCGCGTCCACGTAGGAGAACTGGGGGGGGGGAGCCAAGATTGCGGAGGGGAGTAAGTCAGCCACCCCACCTGCCCTTGCTGGAAAAACCCAGCGGAGCAGAACAGGGAGCTGACGAACTGGAGGGGGCGGCTGCCCTCAAGCAGAGAACGCTGGGCCCTGAGTGGGGAGGTGGGCTGGATGGCCTCAAGGGTCCCATTTTGGAGATTCTATCCCTCCTTCCCCCCCCCTGCAAATGGATGGCCTTCGCACGGCGCCCTGCGCTGGGGAACCATTTGCCAATCCATTTGCTGGGTTCCTGTCCCCCGTCCCAGATCAGGGCTAACCAAACATGTTGCGTTCATACAACACAACAAGTTCCAAGGGAAGCCAGAAGGAAGTCAATTCTCTCCTCCGCCACCCCACTTTCTCCACACCCTTCCCCCCATTTCCGGGCTTGGCAAGTTTCACGAAGGTTGCTCCAGGTCCTTCGGGGTGACGCTTGGGGTGTTGTGTGAATGCAGCACAAGAGCTGACCCACTAGACTGGCCACTACATTTGGCAGTCTGGAAGGAGGATTTCAGGGCAGAGAGCCCTGTTCCCCACTCCCCCCCCCAGAGCCCCTGAACTAAGAGGTCTCCCCCACCATGAACATCCCTCCTGCCCGGCAAATCCTGGCTGCCTTCTGGGATGGGCGTCTCCTGTTTAAGCAGGGGGGGTTGGACTGGATGACCTATAAGGTCCCTTCCAACGCTATGATTCCATTCTAATCTTCCTGCGTGTCCCCCAACACCCTCCAGGAGGGGAGATTCAGGTGCAGGAGAGACCGAGGGGGGGACCCACTGCCAGCAACCCCCCCCAGCCAGGGGACTCACCCGACGGCCCTTCTGGAACTGGCTGAACCACCTCGGGGGGGTCTCCTTCTCCTCCTCCTCCCACGCTGCCATGGGCACCTGTAGAGGGAAACGCTCAAAGGACCGGCCTTCCCATGGAAAGACGCTAAGGATGGATATTTTGGGGAGAGGCGAGGAAATCTGGGGTCATTCTTGAGCCTGGGAGGGGGGGCAAAATAAGCTGTGCCCGCACTGCCATGCGTGGCTTGATTTTCTGACCCACAGGGAGAGAGAGAGGGAAAGAGTGGGCAGCCAGGAGCAGCGGGGCCTCGTTGTGGCTGGCCCCAAAGGCAAAGTCTCCCCCTTTTTGGCTTTCTGAAGGGGTCCTCCCCCCCATACACACACGGGGCTGGGACCCACAGCCACCCTGCCCCATTCAAAGCCTTTTGGTCTTCACTTGGAAGCTAAGCAGGGCCAGGCCTGGATGGGAGACCAAGAGGCAATCACAGAACTGCAGCTGTGACGGCGAGGCCGAAACCACATCCCGGAAGAGGGTCGTGACAAAGCTCTTCGCCCTGAAACGCAGCTTCCCTCTGCCCCCTGCCCGGACAGGCTGTGCCCACCACATAGGGGGCCCAGACTGGTTGACCCCCCCCACACACACACACAGAAGGGCCAGCCTAGCATCGCCAGGGGTGCCACCTGGACTATTTCGGGACCCCAACCTTCATTTTCATAAATTGCCCAAAGGGCAGAAACAGGGCCATCGGCTTTTAGTGTTTTCATTTGAGGGGGGCAGCAGGATCCCCACGAACCCCCCCAGCCACACCAGCCCCCTCCCTGTGCCCAGAGCCCC